ATTAGATTCGAATAAAAACTGCAAGATTATATCCGAACTGAAAGATAGAGCTCATCCAACAAAAATGAGATAAAATTGGTTTGACAAAGATAACGATAATATTTATCCATCTTTAATGTGAATTTCAAATTCCCTCCAAGTTGGGTATTGGACATCTAACACAATGGGCTGATTACCTCTAAATACCCAATATAATTGGGCTACTTCAATTGTGGTGTGGATTTAATTCTTCAATCCTGGGCTTATAGCCTATGAAGTTAAAACGGGTCTCGATTTTTCATCATAGCCTAGGGGATTTGGGCATCACTTACCAATCATGCCCAACAAGTCTTATTCACTGTAATAAGTTTCTATCTTTTTCCTCCATTGAACTTTAAGAAATGCAATCCTATTGATAGTCTAAGCAATGGATGGACTAATCGGGTATTTATGATATTTTGTGAACGAAATCACTCACGTCCATGTAATTATTGGTCGCGTTCAGTTCTACTATTAACATTTAAAATAATAATAATAATAATAATAATAATAATAATAATAATAATAATAATAATAATAATAATAAAAAATAAAAAAATAGCTGACAATACAAATTATCTTTTGAAAATCTGAAAAAATAAAATATACAATCAAATACGTATTTCAACAGTTTCTGTGCAAATATGTCACCAAATAGTATCTAATATCTAATGTAGTAATATCCAGTATGTAGCAAAAACATGCCACCAAATAGAATCCAATGTCTAGCCAAATTAAACACCAGATGAAATATCTAAAGAACAAATAAAAAACTAGAAACAACAATAACAATGTAATAGATTCTACAAATGTTAAAAATGACATAAATTTATTCTTCTGAAAATAACATAACAATCAACGTTGTCAATTTTTCTTTCCTTCCTCTCTTTCCTTTGCAAACCATAGGGTCATTGGATCAAGGTAAAAAAAAAATGTAAAAAATTAAAAAAATATAGAAAGGGAACAAATTCAAGTCCAGAGCGAGACCCATTGTTAAGTTCAAGAATCGTTCGAACCCGATCTGTTCTCAATTCGAAAGGTTTGATTCCAATTAATATGTCCACCCCACCTATGGAATCGAAAAATAAACACGTATGCAAATTGTTGTAAATGATAAGTTTATTAGTAAATGACAATTGTAATCCTACACTCCTATAAATTATTATCGTTGTATCTTTGATTTTCCCTTATAAATACAGGGTTTTGGTTTTTAATAAAATACACACAAATATATTGATTTTTATTCTCTCTTTTCCTTTTTTTTTTCTTTTCATAACGTGTTATCAGCACGATGCCTTATTTTTCAAATTTTAATGAAGGTAATAATTTTTTATAAGCAAAAATATTTATCACATGTACCAAAATTAATTTGGTAACACGTGAATTTTTTTACATGCATATGCATCAAAACGAGATTGTTTCTTCTTCTATGCTTTTTTGTTTGTACGCAAGTCTATATTAATTATTTTATTATATGCATAATTTAACTTGTCTTATTTGCATGTCTATATATGAAATCAATTCACATACACATTTTGAAGATTTTTTTACTTATACATTTTTGGTAATTAATTTTTTATATAAATTCATATCATGTCTATATAGTAATTAAATATTTTTAGATGTTCTATAAACTTTAAATTAATAATTTATCATGTTGTTGCTCATAAAGTAGCATAACATTATAATTAATATTCCAGGAGAGTATTATGTTTATTACTCTTGAAAAGCGTAATATTATTTTCAATATTCTAGAAAAATATTGATTTATTGCTTTTGAAGAAGCAATAATAAAATAAAATATGCTCTCGAAATAGCATATATCCCAAATAATATATATTTCATTGTGTTTTTGAAGAAGCACAAATTAAACAACACAATATTGGGTTTTATTTTTATTTAAAAAAAAACCAATTTTCTATATTATTAATATTCAAGAAGAATATTAATTATCATTCTTGAAGAGCATGAATTATAATTTTCAATATTTCAGAAAAATATTGACATATTACTCTTAAAGAAGCAATAATTAAAGAAAATATGTTCTCGAAATAGCACAATTTTGAAAAATATATCATTTTGAATTCATATTTATTCCTAAAAGAAAACATATAAATAATATCACGAGACAATTGGTTAGTTTGACTATTTAAATTGTATATGATCATATAAGTTTTAATCATATTCTTCGAAATTATATCATCGAATTATATCTTATATCAAACCAAAAGTTCAATTTGACCTATTTTTTGGCATTGCTAGTTGGATCATCATTGGATTAATAATGATGTGAAATTAAAAATTCAAATGAATATTTAATAAAGAACCAGAAGATTCTTCAATTCAATACTATATGGTGTTTGATCTCTTTCATGAATTTTTTTTTTTTTATTAACCATCACTAGATAAAATAGAAACTGAATTCCCTATATTTTATGAAAATTAATTACGCGATAAATGGGACCCGTCATCCTCCACATTGATCATGATCACATGGTGTTCGTAACCTAAAATTTACAAAATTATTGCTCAAATTATAAATTATGAGCATAATTTTCAGATTGTATAATCAAGAATGTGTATTGTGTCTTGTTAATGTTAGTGGGCATAAATTTCAACATTTTAATAAGTGTTAATTGTGATGTCGATAAATGGTTTGACACTATTGTTTGTTAAATACCTCCAATTAATTTAATTGAAAACAAAGTACTTTCTATTTTTTTGTTTAGGGAATTTTATTATGCATCATGTCAATATTATATTTCTCCATATTATAATTGACTTATGTTCAGAGTCTAAATTTTCTATCTAATAATTTTGATAGTGCAGTATATATAAAATTGAATCATCAAAATGCACTTGGATGGAAACTAAACCAAATGGACGATATTTTATAACACTAAAAAAATTATTGTCAATTTGATTATACAATTCTCTCAACGTTAGGAGGAAGATTTAAGAAGTTGAAAATAATGTATAAATGTATTATCGTCTAAATCCTCGCAAAATATCATTCGAACCAGAAGTTCGAAAGATAATTTATTTAGATGCAATTACTGATCAAAGAGATAAATAATATCTCACGCACCAGTTTTAAATGTTTGAACATGAATTGATGTTATATGATAACAATTTGTTAACATTATATTTAATATATCTATGATACGCCTTAAACTTGTTGATGTTCAATTCTAATACAAAAAATTTTCAAACAAAAATAGAGTAATTAGCAAAAATGATCTCATTGAGGAGGCATATAGTCTTGATGAGTATTTAGACATGTCAAATAATAAAATCCTAGAAGAAGTTCAGGAAGTTGAAATAATGAAATTTGAGATATCTCAATAAATTATATCGTTATGGGAAAAGAAATAAAATAAAATAAACTATCGATAACAATTTTCAACATTCTGTACTGCATCATATAGCAAAGAATCAAAATAAATGTGTCGAAATATAATGATCGAAGTAATGATTGATCAAGCATGTGGTATAATAGTCTTAGCGAATATTTGTTGAAAGAGGGTTATAAAAAATGATGATGTGTACCCATGTCTTTTCATAAAGAAAACAAATATTGAATTTATAATTGTAGCAGTTTATGTTTGATGATTTAAATTTAATTGTAACTCCTGAAGAGCTCTATAAAATTATTGATTATTTGAAAAATGAATTTTAGACTAATGATTTGGTAAAAATCAAATTTATCTTGGTTGCAGATTGAATATTTTTCAGAAAGATTATTTGTTTATCAATCTACACGTATGAAAAAGTTTTTAAAACGTTTTTATATGGATAATACACGTCCATTGGCATCATCTATAGTTGTTCGATCACTTGAGTGAAAAATGATCCATTTTTGTCCACTTAAAGATGGAGAAGAGGTTCTTGGTCCTGAAATAACATATTTGAATGCAATTGTAGCATTAACTTATCTTGCAAACTGCAATCGACCAGGCATAACTTTTTCTATAAATCTTCTTGTAAGATATAACTTTACACCAACTGAAAGACATTGAAATTGTATTAAACATATTTTTCGTTAACTAAAGGGCATTGTTGATTTGAGATTATTATATTCTCCATGATCGAGATTTGCTTTAATAGGATACATAGATGCAAATTATCCTTTTGATCCACATAAAGTTAAATTACAAACAGGAAAACATGATGGAACATCTGAATCATAGAGATCTGCGAAGCAATCATTGACAGCAACATCTTTAAATCATTTTAAAATTATTGTTATCCATGAAACAAACCTAGAATGTTTATGGTTGAAAAACATGACACATCATATCTAAGCATCATGTGGGTTAACTTCGACGAAAAATAATTCAATAATTTTGTATGAAAATAATGCAGCTTGTATTGTACAACTCAAAGAGGGTTATGTCAAAGGTGGCAGGACGAAACATATTTTTCCAAAATTCTTTCATATACATGATCTTCAAAAAAATGACGATTTCGATGTCTATCAAATTCGTTCAAGTGACAGTGTGGCCGCTTTATTCAAAAAAGCATTGTCGACATCTACATTCAAAAAATTGATTCAAGAGATTTGAATACTTCGACTCAAAGATTTTCAGTGATTAATATTAGGAGGGTAGCTGTACTATTTTTACTTTGCTTAGGTTTTATCTCGCTGGGTTTTTTTAGCAAAATTTTAATGAGACAACATTAATTTTTAATATTTCAAAATAACTGTATTCTTTTTTCTTCGTTTGATTTTTTTCTCTTATTTAATTTTTATCAAATAAGATTCTAACGAAGTAGATATTTTGTAATGTGTTATTTAAGGGAGAGTTGTAAATGGTAAATTTATTAGTGAATGACAATTGTACCTCTGCAACTTTAGAAATTATTATCATTGTAT